ATCAATTTCATCAAAATCAATTAGAAGCCGGAGTCTACTGACGGGGCACTGGGTGGTGGAGGGAGTGTGAAATCCTGGGGCATGGGAGGAGATACAAGCCCATGGGGACAGAGGAATTGATGAATAAAAGACTCCCGGGGTCGGGGACACTCTGAGTGGAACATGCTGGAACTCAGCAGCTGCAAATTGAGCTGCCAAAGCTCCTCAATCTCCTCGGGGGTTGGAAAAAAAAAGAGAGAGGAGAAGAAGAGCTTAATGGTGACTGTCATTTTGTCTGGTGGGACTGGGAACTCTACAAATAGCCTTCAACCAGACCTCTGGCCTCAAACAAACACAATCAACAGTCGTTCCTAGAGATTGGTGGATTGGTTTGCGCCCGTAGATGCGGTAAAGGGGATGTGAAAGGTATTTTTCATGTTTATATTGAGATACCACCATCCTCAAGAGTATTTTACAAGTAAACTGATGTATAATTCAATGCAGGGAGGTTTTGAGCATAGAGGGAAGGGTTCAGTCGGCGACATGCAAGCCATAACCCATTCATCAATTCTACCCTAATGCAATCATTACTCTTGGCTCTTGACCACCACAGCCCTGCTAGAGTAGCATTAGCACCGTCTCCCATGCTTTCCTCTCAAGAACATGCCATCTCCAGATCTGTGGGATATTTTGTCCAACAGAAGCCTCCATAAATTGGTGTATTCTTGAAAGAAAAGCGACACAAACTGCAGGAAGTAGACATAGATCCTGGTAATAGAATAAAAGGGTATGAAGGAAGCACCCCTAAGGAAGTGCTGTGCATTGTGTATTAAGAGACTCCAGTCCTAAGAGTGCTTTTTTCTAGCCGTTCTCACACTTCATCCCACAATAGAAAGAGAAGTTGGGGCGGAGCTATTTTAAATCGGAGGTAACAACTGTGTCCCTGGTGCAAGCGTTGCCTTTTCAAAGAGCTGCGTGAATCATAAACATTTACACTGCTCGGGAGCCTGGGGAATGAGACAGGAGGGAGCTTACTATCCCTCAACTTCCTGCCTCTGTTTGTTTTCAGGAAGAATGAGGAGAAAAAAAACAACAACTTAAAAACAAAAGGAAAAAAGGGGGAAACAAAGCAGAGTCTTTATATCCAGTCTCTCTGTTGATGTCCTTTGGCAATTGCAGTTTAAGCTTGTTTCACTGTACTAGAACAGTTAAAGAGGAGATCAGAGGTATTCCCACTACAACCGCTATGTGCCTCAGTGTCTTGGTGTGTCTGTTTCCTAGCTGGGAATTCGACCTCATGTTGGTTTTCAGTGAATACGTGATTGTCTAAATTTATTACGCTAGCACTATTTATGGAACAAAAAAAGGTAGAGTTTTTGAAGTAGAATCATCCTGGATTTGAGATATTTGAGTTGATTTGAGGATTTGAGTTGATTTAAAGCAAATTTAGTTAGTAAAACAAACTTTAGCCATATACTGATTTTGCCAAGTATGATGCAATCCTTGATTAACATCTATGTTGATCCCTGGAACATCGTTTTTGTTTGAAAATGCAATGCATTCCTATTCCCTACCCCTAAACCCAACCATAACTCTAAATTATTCCCAAATTCAAAGGGGAACAATAGTTGGATAACAATCATGTAGAAGTTCATAAACTTACCCGTAAGCCTAAACTTAACATACATGTATGTCATTGTGCAACAGTGACCACCTAATTTTGGCCAGCTTAACTCCAGATGTAGTAGTTTCTAATGCTACGATTTGGATATGAGCGCTTTCTAAATCGTCTTACAGCACAATTTTCCCACAGTATGGTATTGTAATGAACCAATCAACACAGCGCGTCTAAACAGAGCGCAAGAACAAGGGACTGAATTGCCTGTGTATACAGGGGTAATGCAGGGAGTTTAGCTCCGGAGGACAAAAAAGTCAGCATTTGTGGTATGGGATTGAGTAACTTTGGATACAAGTATGCTGATGTATGGCAAAACCAGGTCATTTGTAAGTTAGTCATACTGGATATTGCTTTTCAAAGTGCGTGGAAAGCTTAAGCCCGTTACTTCCTTCAGCATTGTCAACGTGCTTTGCGATAGCTCATTTGTCATTGCTCGGTGACCATCAACTGTTTTCTGATTCAGTTCCGAAACAAGTTTTATTTATGGAGAGGATTAAAAGCACTTGGTGTTCGGGTGTCTTGTGTTTGTCTGAGGTAACCAAAATGTGTATCTTCCATACAAAGTATGAAGCTGGATGGTCAGTTCTTGTTACGTGACTCAAGGTGAGAAATTCTAAAAAGTAAAATTTAGTTTGTCTAAAAAGAGATGTTTTCAGCTTGGTGCGCCTGGCATAAGGGCGTCACTCTCAATATGTGCATGCAATTTGTGCGCCTCTATTGCAAATAATGGACTTGTGTGTGCAAAAGATACGATATATGGACTGCCTATTTCTGGCAGTGTCACAAAGAGGTCTATGATCTATGCACGACAAAACAAATCTGTGAACATACACGCAACTACTTTTGATATTTTGTCGAGCAGGACAGAGAAGCCTTACTTGAGTTTGACGGCGTGCATGCTCACACACACATGCACATTTGTTTTGCCATAGGCAATTTGTTACAGATTTACTAGGTGATTTTTGTTTTATGTTTGTTTTAGGACATGGTAAAGGTCTTTGATAAAGATCTAATTGTTTCTGATTTAAAATATGTTTCAGATTCACACTGTAAACACAGATTCAGTCTGTCTGTGACTAAATCATGATTAAAATCGGAATTGCAATATTGTTCAAGTAAATCGTGATAGGTTTCTTTCGCCCAAATCACACAGCCCTAGTTTCTACATCTTCTATCAAAGGAACCAAACAAGCGAGCAACAAGGTAAATCCATCCAGGTGAAGCCTTATTGTTGAAGTAATGCAGCTTGATAACTTGCTCCAGCAAGTCTCATTCTTGTTGCTACCAGTAACTCTGTCTTTGAAGGTTTATACCATAGGTCCCAAACTCAATTCCTGGAGGGCCGCAGCTCTGCACAGTCTTGCTCCAACCCTATTCTAACACAGCTGATCCAAATAATCAAGGTGGTTTGAGAGTAGTCTCAAATACCTTGATTAATTGGAACAGATGTGTCTGATTATGGCTGAAGCAAAACTGTGCAGAGCTGCGGCCCTCCAGGAATTGAGTTTGAGACCTATGGTTTATACATTGTTGCTAAAACAATGAGTTCTTCCTCCCTTGTGGAGGAAATGTCTGGGATTTTGACTTGTGCCATTGTGATGCAACATACATTGATCTATTTTTCTGGATATGCAATTTAAAGCACTCAAATGAGAGCCGCATGTCCACTACATTGCTTTTCACTAAGCAAAACGAGCTTGTAGCTGCTGTGGAATAATATGATAGAAGACATGCCTGAAAATGACATTAGTATCTGATACTTGTCACCGTCTAATGGCTTTGGTTAAAACCGATGACAGCAACCCTGAAGTGCCTGCTCATTTTGCTTATCTGCTGTCCTTTATTGTCAATGTTTGCTTGCTCATAAGCAGATAAGAGCTTTGCTAATGATAAAATGGCTGACCTGGAAAAGCTTCATCTACTTGTAACGTTCTCTGTCTACATTTTTCTAATTGTGTCCAATTATGTAAGTGGCGAGCTGGAGGGAATGTCAGAGTGCCTTTTATAACTTTCTTTATATGCATTTCTCTTACGGAGAGACGTCTACAACAGCTTAAACTGTAGTCGCTGATCATTGTTCATTACACGTTGACAAGAAGTTGGCAGTGGAAGAAATGCAGAAAGATCTCCATCATAAACGTAATTCCTCTCAGAGCCTACCATACACCAAGACGAGCCTAGCAACCCTCAAACAAATCTGCGACGTGCTCACATATCAAATGTAAATGGGGGAGTATGTTCCCTCCTTTCCAGTTGCCAGGTAGCCATACGTCTTGTGATTCATCTGGAGAACAAACCGGTTAATTAGCCTGCTGGAATTAGCCATAGCACACACACGATCTGGACCAAATGAGATCTTAATTGGTTCACCTGCCAATTCTACATAATTCAGGCTCCTGCTTTACAGAGGGAGAAAAAAAAGCACAATGAGGAAGAACAAGCTAAATTATTTTATAGCCGTTAACTCTGTCTTTTCTCTTCCTTAGCTCTCTTATTAGGCTCTCCTTCCCCGAGCAAAACGCTGAGATTTGTAAGCAGCAGTGTGCTGTGAGTCAGAAGCAGCCAGGCTTGATTTAGCATGTCGCAGGCGAGCCACAATGCCTCACGTTCTTTAAACTCCAATCTGAGCGTCCGTCCTGCCGATTTTAATGACCTCATCTGCCTCAGAAATGCTTTTTATTCTCCTCCCTTTCTATTCAGCAAATGTCAAGCTCTCATTGTAATTCAGAGAATTGGTTGACTAATTTCCATCCTGCAAGAATAGAGTTCTCGCTATTGACTATTAGCGGCCGCTGGAGGTGTTCCATTGTTCTAAATTACACAGATCAAAGGCTGATTGAGCATGACAACACAAAACAATCGGCGCAATAAAACCCTTCAGAGCCCTCTTTTGGTCTTCTACGTGCTTTGATTCTCCCTGGCGCTGCCACTCGTCGCTCTATATCTTTGTAGCATTGAGTGGCAGTAGCTGAGAGTGAACATGACCTCCTACTGACTCCTGCCAACATACCGGATGTCTTTAACGGCAGCGAAGGTAAAAAAGAAACATCAACGTTAATTCCCTGCTAAATGAATTATGTATGAGGAGACTGCGTGATATGTAGATTTCCACCTCCAACCTTTGTCGGCCTAATTGCTGCCATTTAGGTCTGGATCTGAAGTGTTGCAGTCGACGTGGCTCACATCCGTCAATAATGTTCATGGGCTGGTATCAAAGACACGGCAGGAAGAGAAGTGCTGCCTGTGCATTAGCAAGGCGCCTCAAGGCTGAATCTTTCTAGAAAGCCACTCTTAACTTTTTTTTTATGGATGCTCTCAGCTAGTCAAGACCTTTGTGTCTTACCTTGGTCAGGTATCTGTGAGTTGTTTGAGGGTACGGTCATATTCAGGACATCGTTGACAGCTGTATCAGCATAGTGCCCTCTCTGGACGTCATGTTCACTGTCTGTTTGGTCGCTCTCTTCGTGCCCGCTGTCCTTCAAACTGTTTCCTTCCATGTCCTTGAATGTTGACGTGCTACAGCCAGGTGAAGGAGAAAGGAGGAGAGAGAAAGAAAAGGTTATTTAACTGTCAACTTTGGTTTCATCACTTTCCGTCTCTTCACCTCATGCTACCTCTGCTTATTGTCTAGCCACCCAGGTGGTGAAGCTGAAAAGAAGCAGCTTTTCTCACATTCTGATATGGTCAGGGTAAAGGATCAGGAGTCAATGGCCTGTACTGACTTTCGCTGGGCAGAGCTTTTATAGGTCGCTTTCTGTGTTCCTACATTTTCTATAGGCTATTTCAGAAATATGTCCTTTGTATCTATTGAGTGCAGACATGTAATGAAGAGTGGATCTAAAAATGAAACTCTGTCGTCGGTCTGAACATTACAATTATGCTATGCTCAGATTAAAAAGCAACTTTTTTCTCTCTTCTGCGTAAAACAAAAGGTGAATGTTAAGAAATATTGTTTCATTGAATCTTTAACAATGAATGTGAAGGAGTACTACAGTTATCAAGATCTAAATATGACAATAAACTGTAAAACGCAATATGAAAAAAAAGTCTATGGGCTCTATATTAACGATCTAGGCACAAAGTCTAAAGCACAGGGCGCTAAAGCATCAACGGCATGTCTGAATTCACTTCTGTTAATTTAAGGAAGGAAAAATTTGCTCTTCGTTGCAGCGCATTGTCTAACAGGGTTGTGCTTATTCTCTGGATGAGTAATGTAGTGTTTTGAGAATAAACCAGTCAGTCTCAACTCACATTCCCTTTAAGAGTAAAGCTGAAAGCTTTACTAGAGAGAAAACAGTTAAACAGAACATCAGTTTCTCAAAAATAATTATAACAATGCGCCTTAACACATCTCTTTTCTAGACTGGAACACCCATAACTCGCAATGTCGCAAATGGATTTGCTATTTAAACAACGTGGCGGAAAACAGAAAAATTAAAGTTGCCTGGTGTATGATAGGGCCCAATCTCTTCATTATGTGAAGTTTAAGGAACTAATTTAGAGAGAAGCATGTGATATGATTCACCGTGGCTGGTCTCTCACCTGTAATCATTAGTGAGCCAATCTGATTATTCCAAACTTGCTATAAATAGCCCATCTAGCATTACTTTCTTATCTTCATTTTTTGAAGAATCCCTCCAACCACTCCATCTCCCCCTTTTCCTCCTTCACCAGGGAAAGCTCTCGAGAACTACCTGATCTCGTAACCCCCTTATATGTTCATTGACCATGTTCAAGTATCTCCAAGCTCAGGTTTCTTTCCCGGGACAGCATGCCAAACCTGTTATTATTAAGCAATTTCCAAGTGTGAACTCTTGAAATATAAGTAAATAATAACAGTGGTGCTACCTTTGATTTTAAGCTGAAATGAAACTTTTTAAATGATATTTTTTGTTCCTTATTCAAATGAATCTTACGCTGCATAGGACGTAAAGAAAATTATTATAAACTATTATGATGTTTTGGATGTTCTTAAAATTCACCTTCAAGAACAACACAATGGTAAATAAACATGTAAGTGTCATCATTGTTTATGGTTCAAATTACTGGAGTAAAAACACTAGACGAAAGCAAATAGTTTACTGCATGACATTTTAAATGTAAATCATAGGTCTCAAACTCAGTTCCTGGAGGGTCGCAGCTCTGAACAGTTTTGCTCCAACCCTATTCAAGCACACCTGATCCAACAAATCAAGCTTAGTCTTGAATACCTTGATTAGTTGGATCAGGTGTGTTTGAATAGGGTTGGAGCAAACCTCTACAGAGCTGCGGCCCTTCAGGAATTGAGTTTGAGACATGAAAATGTATGTTGGTCACATACACATTGAAACTAAATTCAGTTGTCAGTTCACATTTCAGTGGTCGTTTTTGTTCTGTTGAATGACAATCAATCCATTCCTAAATTAGATAAATCCCAAAAACTTATTTTTATTATTTGTTTTTAGGAAAAATAAATGACCATAACAAGTCTTTGGTCACTGTACGTCAACACAAAGCTACAATATGACAAAATGTTGCTACAGTCATAAATTCCTGAGCATAATGTGTTCCTCGCATAAACAGAAAGAAAGTTAAGGAGATTCACTCTTATGTTTGAATGCAGGTGTCACTCCTGAGACTTTACACTACATTTGTTGCCTTCACCCCCTGGAAGGTTTAAGAAATAGGTGTAAAAATGTTCTAATCTTTAACTACATTCAATATAATGAAAGAGTGAGAGAGGAGAAAAGGCTGCCAATTGACATCTGCAGTGCACAAGCCTGATTTCCCTTAATTTGATAGTTAGCCCAGTGGAACACATTCAGCCTCTGAAGCAACAGCGAGGATCAGAAACGCATGCGTACACATACACACACTGACATACATAGACAAAAGCATCTCTGTAGCCTTTGCTGAAGAAGGGGGTAGAGAGAGAGAGAGGGGGATTCTAGCAATGTCACTGCAATGGTGGTAGTGCAGCCTCTGATTTTATCAGTCTAATTGCACCTGTCCCAGTCTGTGCGCCCACTGGCTCCAGAGGGGATTTCTTTGTAGTGTCGCAGAGCCAAACAGCCGACACTTGAATACTCTTTGTTTATGTAAACATAGGCAGAGCTTCTTTTTTTTCAGAAGATAAAATTGCTGTAATTGGTTTGAAAAATGCAGCACTGAGGTAAGACTGAATGTATTTTTGCTCCAGGTAGGAGAGGCTTTACGATGGTGCACATCCATTGCAGCCGGGCCTCAAGGCGCCCGGAGACCTTCATTAGAGATGTCTGCATGCCAGAGCTCTATGTCAGTCAATAGCCTCTTTTTAGGTGGACTGAGGAATGCTGGCCAAGTCCTACCAGTACAAAGGATCTATTGTCCTTGCTCTTTTCTTCCACAATACAAAATAACATTACCTTTTCCTTATCTCCGTGGCCTTACAATGCCCTCCTTGTGTGCACGGAGGAAGAATCCTCTGGAATTCCGGGATTAAAATTCTTGTAGATTTAGCTCTCTGATTAACATCTACACGGATGTAGCTTAACTGCGCAAGCCTCCGCTCTGGGCTACAGCTTTAATATTCTCTAACATGTAATATGTATACACGTTTGCAGGGATTTGATGGAATTATTCATATTAGGGAAGAAAGAGGAAATACTTGATGAGGATGTGCTTAATCACTTATCATACTGAATTATTAAAGCTTAACACTGGCCATTTATAAACATGTTGAGTATTAATATCTTGCCTACGGTTTGTGGCCAACCATAGGACAGTTTTAATAGCTAACAACTTTAGCTTTTGGTTATTTTTAATGACTCTCCGCTCAGTCCAAAGCCATCTTAAAAGGGGTTTATCATGAATTTTTATTCTTGTGAGATAAAGATCTTAGCACTGTACTGCCCTAGCGTATGTCTATCCATTAAAACTAATATCATCACTGTCGAATGGAAACTTTATATGTCCAAAGCTGTTACTTTTGATGAAATGAGGGGAAAAAAATATGTAAATCAATCACAGCATTGACAATCTTTTGGTAGTGTCTTTTTGTGTATGTGTGATTATATAAATAATCAATATGAGTACAGTAATGTTTATTTTAGCTATACGGGTAATACATTTTCACATTTGGCCAAAATCTCATGATATAAAAGTTGAACTGCTTTGCAAATCCTGTTTAAAACAGAAAAGGTAATCACTAGATGTCAAATGCTAGACTAAGATGCTTCAAAATAGAGGTGGGTCAAGCTATTACTTTTTATAGACAGTTTGAAAATTGAGGTTTAGTCACAATCTTTTTTTTTTTTTTTTTTTGAACGCCTTTGCTTGGTTTAATGTTTGTAAAACCAACAGACAGATATAAACAACATTTAAGGTAGGAGAAAGCAGAATATACTACACTACCTGACAAAAGTCTTGTCGTCGATTCCAGTTGTAAGAGCAACATATAATAACTTGACTTCTAGGTGATCATTTGGAAAAGTGGCTTAGGAAGTAAATATTTCAGATGAATCATCTTTAGAACTGCATCCCAATCGTCACAAATACTGCAGGCGACCTATTGCAACCCGCATGGACCCAAGATTCTTATAGAAATCAGTCAAGTTTGGTGAAGGAAAAATCATGGTTTGGTGTTACATGCACTATGGGGGATTGTGAGAGTTGACAGCAACATCAACGGCCAGAGGTATCAAGGCATTTGTGCTGCCCATTACATTACAAACCACAGGAGAGGGAAAACTCTTCAGCAGGATAGCGCTCCTTTTCATACTTCAGCCTCCACATCAAAGTTCCTGAAAGCAAAGAAGGTCAAGGTGCTCCAGGATTGGCAAGTTCAGTCTCCAACATTATTGAGCATGTCTGAGGTAAAATGAAGGAGGTGGCATTGAAGATGAATCCAAAGAATCTTGATAATCTCTGGAAGTTCTGCAGGAACCCTTTCTTTGCCATTCCAGATGACAAAGTTAAGTCATTTCGGAGATATATTGATGCTCATGGGAGTCATACACAATATTAAATCTCTTTTCACTGCACCATGGCTTTATATTCTATACTGGATATTATTTCTGTTCAGTGACAAGACCTTACTGTCCTAATTAAATCATTAAAAATCAAGGCATGATCATATTTTATTTTGGTAAAATAAACGTAATCTAGAGGCCTTTGTCTTTCATATAAGCCACTTCTAATACCAAATGATCAACTAGAAGTCAAGTTATTATTTGTTGTTCCTAAAACTTGGATAGGAGACAAGACTTTTATCAGGTAGTGTATATTACTTATATTACATGCAAATACAGAATAATACACCACTTAAAATAAACAAAACAAGAAATGAAGACTGCTTTAAGAATGCATCAAGTTGAATAAGATAAGTTAATCTGATTGGTCTATTAAGACGTACCTTTTAATTAGGTGTGCTCTGCTGTTTACATAACTGGAGTCAATGGAATAATTCTCCGTCTAGGGGAAAGAGACAGAATTAAAGAGAGAGAGAGAGAAAGAGAGAGAAAGAGAGAGAGAGAGAACAAAAATGAATTTAATTATGCAGCAACCAAAATAATGTCACTAGTAATTGCCTTTCAATAGAAATGTTATTTTACACAAAGACTCTAGTTAGCTGCCTGGGCTTTTCAAAGGCAAACTCCCCCATTCTCTTTCTAAGCACATGTGGCCTGTTCTGCTGCAGTGAGTCTGCTCCTGTCGTCACTCCTCCAGCCTCCCCCCCAACACCCCACCCCAACCCACAAAACCATCCTTAGTCAGACCACGCTCTTCAAAATGTCATTAAGCCAGACAGGGGAATAGAGGAGGGGGTTGGGGCTTTAAGAAGAAAGTTTCTTCTCTTCCGAGTGCTGCTTTTCCTCAAAACACTTTTGAGGATGCTAATGTGAAAAAAAATATCAAAGAAATAAATAAACGGAGGGAGGAAATTAAGAGCATGCCAGGGGATTTTTGAACTTTGCGATTGCAGATGAAAAGGCCTCAGTGATCTGCATATGATGACTCTTTGACCCACATAGAGAAAGAGACTTCAGAGTCTTCTTGAAGGCAGTGCTTTTGGAATAAATGACTAGAAGTACACTGGGTAATATATATTTTGCGCTATATTTGTGGTGCTACTATTTGTGCTGTGAAATTAAGCAATGCTATGAATTATTCAAATCATGAACTTAAGTGCATTTTTGCTTGACTACTTTCACAATTTGGTCTTTCTTGTAAAAAGCAGCCATAATGAAAACAGGCTTTATTTGAAATGTTGGTAAGTTGCAAGTGGTTTTCTTGGATGAATAGTGCTGGGCGATTAATCGAAAAGTAATCAAAATTGACATTCAGAACTTATAATCGATTACATTTTTCCAGGTCAATTTTTTGACTCCTACCTCGTGTGGAGTCACGTGACCTTGCTCTGTTAAGGCTGATTTATACTTCTGTGTCAACCGCATGAATATGATCCGGAGCAGCCTTTGCATGGTCGCATATCTGAGCACCTCTCAAAAAATGTAACTACACGTCACTTGTTCGCACTACATTGATGATGATTGGAAACTGTGTCTTGAGACAGCATGTTTTCTATTATAATAAAATTATTATTTACATTAATATATTTGTTTACTGAAGATTCAATATTTACTTTCACTTTTTTATAAATAAAAAGTAACTTTTTGTTTTAGGCAATGTGTGTTTTAATTTCAGTTGTTTAACGTTGATGTTCAATAAATATTCATAGATAGTAGATAGTGTGTGTTTCCTTCAATTCTTTTAAAATCAAGTAATGCACCCTTCATTCAGAAACCTCTGGTAATATGTATGCATATTTACTGTTCAAAACTTATCAGTGAACTGTGAGGGCAAAATAAATAAATAAAATAATCGTTCATTAATCGTAATCGAGTTAAAATATTCAATTGATTAAGATTTTGATTTTAGGCCAAATCCCCCAGCGCTATCGCTGAACCAGTTCCATCAGTCCAATTATGTCTGATCTACCAAAATGCATATTAATGTAGGTGTCAAAAAGTCTTCATATGGCATGTTTCAAATTCAAATTATTATTAAGGATGCTCCAATCGGCCGGAGATCGGTATTGGCTGATAATCACATATCACGACTCGATTGGTACTCGCTGATCTGGCTGATCTCTTGAACCGATTGCAAGTGTTTGTTTACAAGTTTACAAGCAGAGGAAGATGCATGTGCATGCCTGGGTTATACATCAGCAGCGCTACAGCACATGAGCAATGTTTCCAAAGTGCTTTGTTAGTAATTCTTCTTATCCTTTATTACTATGTCTGTTTTATCTATTATTTTTTTGTAAAGCTGCTTCTGACCGTTACATGTATGCAACATACTTCATTTAGGTGAAATCTCATACCTAAAGCAATGGCAAAGCTATATAACGATGGAAGCATCAGAATCAGTACTCTGTATCAGCCAATCACCATGACAAGAAATCAATACTCAGTGTCGGCTGAAAAATCCTGGTCGAGGATCCCTAATTATTATGTTGCATTCTTCCTTGCTCATTTAAAGAGACGGTTCACCCAGAAATGTTTAATGTACTCACTATTTAGTCGTCCTCAAGTAGTTTGAGTTTCTTTAATCTGTTAAACACACAATAAGTCATTTTGAAGAAAGCTAAACCCTGTAAAACCATTGACATGCATAGTAGGAAAACCAAATACTATGGAAGTCAATGGTGAAAGAGCTTTCTAAATATCTTATTTTGTGTTCGACAGAAGAAACTCAAACAGATTTGGAACAAGTAAAAGGAGAGTAAATAAGAGTTAATTTTTGGGTGGAAAAGCTCTTGAAAATTGTCTTTTTTTACATTAACTCCTTAATTTTTCCTTCTGCTTAGTCTCTTTCCATTAGTAATCCCCACAGCGGAATGAACCGCCAACATATCCATATCCATCCATTGGACTTCACTAGAACTATGTTAAGCTGCTTTGACACATTGTAAAAAGCGCTTTATAAATAAACATGAATTTAATTCAATCTACATGTTTTACACAGCCGATGACCTTTCAGCTGCAACCCAGTACGGGGAAACATCCATACACTTTCACATTCACACACATACGCTAAGGCCAATTTAGTTTATTCAATTCCCCTATAGCGAACTGGTGAAACCAGAGCACGCAGAGAAAACCCACACGAACAGGGAGAACATGCAAACTCCACATTGAAATGCCAACTGGCCCAGCCAGGACTCGAACCAGTGACCTTTTTGCTGTGAGGCGACAGTGCTAACCATTGAGCCACCGTGCCACCCATCTTTTTTTACAATTGAATTAAAATGTTAAAACTAACTTGCTACTCAGTACAGTACATGCAAGTGTGTTCCATGAGGAGAAAACTGCCTTCAGCTTCAACTTCAGCTGATTCCAAAGCCAGATAGAAAAAGAAGTCAATGGCTTCCTTCCAGGGGTATGTCTAGCCATCAGCCCCTCTGACAACAGCAGTCACCCAGACGATAAGAAGGTTAATGCAGACAGTGCAACAAGACCAATGATTATGCCGCCAGCCAGGGACATCCAGACTAGCTGCCGGGAGACAGATACAAGCTCTCATAATCATAGCCGGAATAACTCTGCATAAAAAACTATGATCTCCAACACATACATTTCCTTCATCTGCGTATATCAACAGCTGCTACAGCAAGTAAGATATACAGTTGAAGTCATATTATTAGCCCCCCTTAATTATTACCCCCCCCTTATTTTTTTCTCCAATAAACAAGATTTATCTTTTCTAAATAAAATAGTTTTAATAACTCATTTCTAATTTCTAAAAACTGATTTATTTTATCTTTGCCATGATGACAGTAAATATTATTTTACTTCATATTATTCAAGACACTTCTACACAGCTTAAAGTGACATTTAAAGGCTTAACTAGGTTAATTACAGAGATGGGAAGTAACATAGTACAAATACTACGTTAATGCACTTAAGTAGATTTTTCTGGTATCAGTACTCTACTCCGCTACTTATTTTTCTGACAACTTTTTACTTTTACTCCTTACATTTTTACACAACTATCTGTAATTTCTTCTACTTACATTTTTAAATCGAGCTCGTTACTTTCGTTCTCAACCAAGGCTATCATGCACTGTACGTAGGGTAGATTACTATAAGAAATGCAAAGATGATTTGCAGTCAAATATGATAAGTATTTATTTGAGCAAAATAAACTATATTTTCAAAATATTCAGTAAAAATATTTATTAAATGTTTTTTTTTTTTTTCTAGATGTTTTGGACAGAATTCAGTGTAAAACGTAAGACATTATTTATAAGGATATACAGCTCTACAGAATTATTTTTGAACTTTTTAATTATTATTTCATGTATGAACATGTATGGCAGCTGTTGTTTTTGATCCAACTGCCGCAAAACTACATGATGAATGTTGTGAGTTTGCCTCAGGATAATAATACATGGGGGGAGGGAGGGGATATTTTCCTACCTAGCCAAAATTAAATCTAGTAATAATGGGTATTCTTTACTTTTACTTGAGTACAAAAGTACTTTTCAGTACTTTTACCAGAGTCATTTAAAAACATGAGAATCTGTACTTCTACTTGAGAAAAGGATGTGTGTACTTTTCCATTTCTGGTTAATTAAGTTAACTAGGCAGGATATGGTAATTAGGCAAGTTATAGTATAATGATGGTTTGTTCTGTAGACTATAGAAAAAAATATGGCTTAAAGGGGCTTATAATTTTGACAGAAAAATGGCTTTTAAAAAATGATGAACTGCTTTTATTCTAGCTGTAATAAAACAAATAAGACTTTCTCCAGAAGATAAAAATATTATCAGACACACTGAAAATTTCCTTTGTCTGTTAAACATCATTTGGGAAATATAAAAAAGGAAAAAAAAAAATCTAAGACGGCTAATAGTTCTGACTTTAACTGTATGCACGTCAACAGGAACATTCCTCCAGGAAGACCCTTTTTAAACTATATTTATATGAACTATGTCATATTAGGGTGTACTATATTATATTAGCCCGTCACCGTCAACCTCAGACCTTCTTTTCTCCAGTCAGTGAGCTGCTGAATACCGTCTCACCTCCACACACTCTAATTACCTCTACGCATGATAATATTTTAATTACAAGTGACGGCTGACCAGGCGTCTAATTGAGATTTTTGGGCTGGTGAAATCTGGACCCACTGAAGGTTACGGCTTTCTTTTGTGTGTGCGTGTGCGCTCCTGCCTGTGTGGGTGTTTGCTACGGCTCTAATTAAACCTTAAGTCATTGTAATCAAGGAGATAATTTGTAAAAAGCCAATTTAATTAACATTATATTAGCAGACCTCAATTTGGAACATACTCTTGTTTGTTCTCGTTGCGGCTCACGAGGTAGTTATTTGCCTCTTTGTTCTTGTCCGGCTCGACTCCATTAGTATCAAAGTAATGGGCATGAGCAATTATTTCAGTACTCTAACA